TATAGAGCACAGAGTGTCGAAGTTGGTTGGCCAAAGTCCAATGTTGATGATGGGGCCGTAGTCTAAGACCATTGGAAACAACTTGTTAATTGCAGCCGAAGTTTGAGACTACACGAAGAGTTGTGCACTTTGACAACCATGTGGTCGCACATGGCAGGCCGAAAGCAAAGAAGCATGTTCAGCGTGAACTATGCGACGGCACAAGGTTTAACCTTGCAGTCACATAGTTATGTCGGGCACCGAAATATTTTTCTTTTCACGAGAAATTCTAGTTTGTTTAAACTCTTTTTTTTTTTTTGGTAATTTTCATAGTTCCTAGGACTCTATTTTCATTTTTAATTAGTTTTAGGGTTAATTATAAATAAGTTTATTCTATTTCATTCAGTAGATGACTTTTGATATTGAGAAATAATTGAGAGGCTTGTTTGCTTCCACTTTCTTATTCTTAATTGAATAATTCGAACTTATCAAAATTAACAATCTTGTGGTGTTCACAAATTCAGATAAGGTTTAATAATTGTGTGATCAAGAGGTCGACAAATTCATTGTTGTTGGTTGCTTGGTTCATAGTTTTTAGATTAAATCCAAAACCTTGAATCTTTGGCAATCTTGGGATCCGGTTTCAATCTTATTGTAGGTTTCATAGCCGCTATTGCTATGCGAGTTCACATCAAGATCCTAGTTCAAGTATTCCCCAATACCGAACTTGAGTTCTCCTTTTGTTCATTCTTACAAGCAATCTCAAATCGAGAACTTGATCTGGCTATAAAATAGTTCTAAAGGATAGCGAAATCTATATTGATTACTTGTTGTAATCTCATCAAGGCGACTGGATTATGCACACAATATGATCGTTTTGTCTCATCTCAGCACACCCCAAAGTGTTTGAGGCGATTGTTTATGTGAGTGAATCAATCTCAAACTGTTCGACATACTTTATATGTGCACGCAAATCACTATCACATAGTCCTAACGGTAGATTACACAAGAACTCATAATTGTTCATCTATGGGTTTACAAAACTCAATCAAGAATTACGTAATTCTAGAGATTAAACATTATCAACAATTATATCTCCACACATATTCAGAGTATGGTAAATACATATCATCACTTACGTAGATATATTGCAAAGACACTTTCTTTACGAATGTCTTTCAAAGAAATATTATCGAGTGTTTGGTTCCATCATGATACTTGAGATCCTAACAAATAGATAGTTATGTAACTATCATAGATCTCATATTCTCAACCACTTTCATTAGATGCTCAATACATCTATACCAAACAATTTCTTTAGTTTCCAAGATATATATTACAATATGCCGAAACTCTATCAATCTTTATACATCTAAACATATCTTGTTCAATCTTTATTTAACATCTCACTAGTAAGACAAAATCAGTTTTAACCAAACTTAATGGAAGAATGTAATTCTACCAACTACTATATGACAATATGAATGTCAAACAAAAAAAAAGTAAATAAAAATGAAAAAAGATGTATTTGTTCTATTAACATCTTTTAGCAATCAACTTTGAAAATAATTTATTTATGGATTTCATGGTAAATATGAATGTAATTTAACATTTAATATTATTAGTCCTCGTTTAAACTTATATGTTAACTTATGTTAAATATATTACTCTAATATCGATAGGTGATAGGTAAACCGCGGATTAAAACCGAACCAAACCGCAAATTATGATTTGGATTAGTTTGGTTCTAAAAATAAAATAGTTTGATTTGGTTTAAAAAAATTTCAAATCGCATAAAATAGTTTGAATTAAAAATATAGCACAAACCGTTCAAACCAAACCGTGTTCAACCCTACATAAAATGTAGTATTTTCAATACTTCTGGAGTCTTTTTCATTTTATAAAAATAAAACCCTTCAAAAAACTGCCACTGGGCAAATACCACTTAATAAATCTTCTTGAAAAAATTCGTAATTAATCAAGTTAAAAAATATTTTTGATGCTTTTTACAAATTTATTTTAAGCACTAAGTACAAAAAATATTTTTTAAACCATCCAAAAATTAATTTGCTTATACCCAAAAATTGGGAATAATTTAGGGATCAATCTGAAATTTTCAGAATTTAAGTCGGATCTCACATGCATCCTCACATGCGGTATCAATCTGCAATCATTTTTTTAAAGTAATAAAAAAATTGGGGGTAGGTCAGTACCGCCACATTGTACTCGAAAATTTCTTTCGATTGGTCATCTTAACTGATTTCAATATTCTAAGTTCATCCGTGTGGTCAAAATTTTTTATAAAAAATCTATTTTTTAAGGCTACGTTTGGGATATCAATAGATTTGTCCAAGAGTAAAAGTAGCAAAAAAATTCATTCAAAATTTTCAGATTTTTTACCGAACTTCGAGAGGCCATAACATCTTCATTTCAAGGCCAAAATTAACGATATTTATACTATTTAAAAGGTCTCAATAAGATCTACGATATTAAATGAGAATCATAAAATGTAGTGTAGAAGACGTCATCGTGTGATGAAATTTTGAATTTTACCAATTTTCATGCAGAAAATTAGATTCTCGTCCAAACTTTTGGAGGGCATAGCTTCTTCATTTCAAGCATAAAATCAATTATCTCTATACCGTTGGAAAGGTCTCAAGAAGATCTATCCATCCATAACAAAAAAAACAACATGATTCTTATTCTATAAAATGTTACCAATTGATGAAGTTTAGGCTTTCATAAAATTTCATGCCAAAAAAAATTTAGATTATCATCCAAATTCCAAAATCTCATAACTTCTTCGTTTCAAAACCAAAATTTAAGTTTTTTATATGGTTGGAAAGCTGATGAGAAGACTTTTCTAGCCATATGAAAATGAACGAACATATGGCACTAAATATTTAAATTTTCTACAATTTATCTAGGTTTCGTTTTTCTCCAAAATTATAAAAGCAAAATTTCAAAATTTTACAGATATGATCTACATCATATAAGGAATATGTTGTAAAAATTTTGTGAATTTATGTTGCATGTTTCATGACATGCCTTTAACAATGCTTCAAGTTTCAACAAAAATGACATACATGCATTTTTCAATATAATAATTCCATTTATAACACAAAACAATTTTTATGGCTTGGATACCAATATAATAAATCGTAGCATTCTTTAACATGAATTTTGGGTCAAAAACCCTACTTGAAATTATGAATCCCAAGATTTTTTAAATAATTGAATCACTTTGTATTTCAAAGCTCCGACTCTACATTTTCTTGTTCTTCAATGGTCCCAATCCCGATCATAGTGGAAGGGGATTAGTAACCACAATCTAATTACCTAATTTTTTGAGTTTTCATGCCCTGTCTATGGTTCAAGGCACTTTTCTATTTTTGAGTGATTTTCCATATGAATTTCACTATTTTCTACCATCTTTTTTCTCTCCATTACTATACAAATTTTGGAGGTTTTATGGGAAGTTATGTGGAGTTGTAGATTTGAATTTAAAATTCAAATCACTCTCTCCAGCCCTTTTAATAACTTGTGAGTCGGGTCATCTCACATGGGCGACTCACGACCCGTATTTTCTAACAAGTAGAAATGCTTAAATTGATAATATTACACATGACATACATTCAATTATTAGAGATACAGAGGATTAATTTCATTTGAAATCATAATGAGTTGAAAATAAAGCGGATTCTCTTGGATGATCAAATTTTTTGCTGATCTTGGGAACTCAATTGAACTGGAAGTCCTTGCACCATGTTTTTCTGCTGTAATAATTTTGGCGCTTGAAAGTTCAAGAAACCAAGTCTTTTGTACTATAACCATGAATCATTACCCACCATTCGTAAAGCTTTGTCAATCAAATATTTGAAGGAAAACTTCTATGCTTCATTCTCAGCCTTGCTATGTATGTATAAAATGAATAAATGGGTTTAATTAGTGCTAGTTAGTGGAGCACTAAGTCACACTTTACATGGAAGTCTATCATGTTCAATTTAATATAACGTTTAGCCATTTAACTTTCAATAATATATAAATAGGTCCCCAAAATTTTATTTTATCCATCTTAAACCTTCAAATATTATCGGTTATAAAATAAACCCCAATAGAATAATTTGATTAATTTAAGTCATTATTATAATTTGACTTTGACAAGTCAACTTTTGATAATGGGTTACACCAACCTCTCATTTTGACACTCCATCCCCACTTATCCAATTGTTTTTCAGCAATAATGTATGTGGACTATTTAAACCCATCCAACAACATATGATGCCAGCCATTGCATGGCATCCATTCCTTTCCCCCCTTTTTTCTCCCAAACTCTCTGCCTTCTAATATCTTGAAACACCCTTTATTTTTCTTGATAGCCAACAAAGAAAAAAAGGAGTAAAACGAAATCATACC